TGAAAAACATGTGTTATCATCACAAAGGGATTGTCAGCTTCAAACGCCTTACATCCCTCCGCCATCCCTCAGGATCAAACAGGCTGTTGGCTGGCAGTTATCACAGAGCTCTCTCACAGTCTAATCACATCCCCTATTCTCTACTCCTCACTCTTCTTCCCTCGCTCTTTTTCCCTCTCCTCTCCTTTTTGCTGTCGCCCCCTCTTTCTCCTTTTCTCGGCAGGGGCCCTAATCTCAATCATTGTTTATCGCCGTAGCCATCGTCGCTCATAACGCGCTCCTGACATAGCTGACGGACAAATAATCATGACAATCCCTTTTTGTCTGGAGTTTGTCTCCGTCTCCCGCTCTCTCCCTTTCAAACTCATCAACAAACACAGGATCTCATTGTGGAGGCTCCTGCTTCATCTCGGAGCCGCACATTGTTTCGCCTGAATTCTCTGACAACCTCAGAGCCATACTCAGCGTCATAAAGAGCAAAGTGTCTGAAATAGATAGGGGGGCTGCTTTGTTCTTTATTGTAACGGATGAACTCTCTAACTCAATCCTAAACAGGCTGGGTGATGAATGCGTTTGTGTCCATGTGAATGTGTCACATTATGAGGCAACAATTACAAGAATTGGATGAGAATTGTGTTTGGTTTTGTTAATCACATTCCTTCACACTGGAGATCTTTTTTTTTTTTTTTCATCTCCGTTCTCTGATTGTTTTTGTCTCTCCGTAGTCACGAGTGATTTCCCAAGCCACACATGGACAAATACACACAGACACATAAAATAGAAGAAAGAGGAACAATAGCCACTTTAATACACTGAAATCATCTGACTTTGTGACGTTAATTCCTAAAGCAGCTATATCTTTGTAAGACTGCAGCTGAGAGACAGACAGACTGATATGTTTGTGACACTTTCATGTTTTGCTCATTTTAACCCTCAGACAAGAGAACCATGAGAATTTGTTGCAGCTGGATTTTTCACTGAAACACGTGTGCCCTGTATGTACACAAATGCATAAACACTTACGTACAGGCATTTTATTGTATCGTTTCCCAAAGAGAAATCTGTTGGATTTTCTGAGCCTATACTGCATCAATGAAAAAACATTTTAAATGTTTTGTAAAAGGCCAGGGCAAATAGATTTATTCTGGCGATTTTGAGTTTCATTTATTTTTCCTTTTTATCTCTGTGTTGAATGTCTATCTTTTGATCATCCAACCATTTTATCATGTCTGCATCCAGGAGAAGTATGATGAACATTGAGAAAGCAAAACCTTTAAAATCAAGAGAAGTATGATCATTGTATAAGTAGTACATATTTAAATATAACATTTAATATAGAAAATTACTGTTCTTTTAAGCAAAAAACAGAAGCCTTACATCCAAATATTGACTCCAAACTTGAAATCTAAGTTACAGCTGAACACATTACATCTATAAAAACACTTAATACTATATAGTTTATAAAATATAGTAGTTTACAAAATCCAGGTAATTTTCTGGAATGACTTTGCTTTATTAAATCAATACTGATCAGGTTTAGATAAGGATTGATGGGCTGGAAATGAAGACACATGTAAAGAATGGAAAATAAGCTATTATTCTTTATTTATCTACATACACCCTTCATATATCAGTTGTGAATATGAGGAAAATGTCCAATATGTACATTACTCTTTGCATATGTACTTGTATAAAGGTATGATAAATTAAGCACATTTCTACTTCATGGTTGAACTGATCCTGCATCAGAAAACCTCCAGTACTTTCACAAATTATTTTTTTTTGCCAAACCACATGTCTGTAATTCACGGTTTGTTTGATGCTGGGATCTAAGGTGATGCCTCATCTGTGCAGTTAATCATCCACTTGGAAGAGCAGAGCTGCAAGAGGAGAGTGAATGCCTCTCTGTTGAGTCTGTGTGAGTGAGGGGAGTCCGTCGAGTGGTCTCACCGCCTGGATTTCTCTCTCTCTCCAGTAGATGCCAGCAATGAACCATTTAAAACGCCACCACCGCTTCTCTTCTCCCCTCCTTTCTGAAACCGATGCTGCTCTGCGTCGAGCTGCTTTGGAGTTGGAGATGGTACAGATGGCTGGCCCTGAACGCAACACTTATCCAGACATTTCACTGTTCGCAGAATGATATCAAAGTCAACTCAAAATGGAGGCTGTGCCATCAACTTGAAACTAATTCTAACACTTCCAACAAAATTGTATTGTGAATAAAGTCGCTGTGGATTTTGGTCAGTGTTTACCACAGATGTCCCCCCCCCCCCCGTGTGTTTGCGTTAAATAAAAAACTAGTGCTCCCATCCTCTTAAAAAATTCAGCTGTGGATTTTCAGGGATAAATGCTCATAGTTATAATGTTTTAATCCAGATTGGATTCAGACACATTTATTTATGTCAGAGCGTCAGAGTTTAAAAAATGCTTTGGAAAAAAGAAGAACACAGTACCAGGAAAAACAACAACAACAAACACCCAAAATGAAATGTGGGAGAAATGGCTGCATGTATTTTTTTTTTTTATGTTGTCTTTCAGGCGTTAAACAAATGTCAAACTGATTATTAATAGTTCATAATTCTGTGCGTACATTTCATACCATTCCAGCTGAAAATAAAATACTTTTCTTATGCCCTTTGTCGTCATCTTGACACACAAGCTCGGATCAAAGTCGTCAAATTTCCCACATGGGCTTCCAGACCTGCTGTCGCTCCAATGTTACAGTAAATGTCACATCATATTAATATTTTAAAGAATACATTTATTCCTTAATATGTGAGAGGGGAGAAAATGCGTCTTTGTAAATACTTGTGATGTTACATTTGTTTGACCAGTTACCAAGGATACTTTTAATTTTACTCTACTCCAGTTTCCATTAGTTCCTCATTGCAGCAACAGTTCTTGGGATTAAATGCGAAAAACCTCGCTGGGACTGATTCTCATTCAGGTTTTTACAAAACATGTTAACAGCTGCATTTAGAAGTGATACGTTCTCTGAATTTGTGTTTTTGTGTGTGTGTGTGTGTGTGTGATTGACCACTGTTTGCGCTCCAACAATAGGTTATCTGTGCCTGTTTCTAGAGGGTGGGGCCCTGGAGACCTGGCCTTCCCGTGTGATTGGCTGGCCCGGCCGCTGTGAGAAGTTTACTTTGGAGGGTGCTGTATGCTGGATCTTTTTTTTTCTCGCTTCCAATTAAATGTGGAATGCAGCAGTCTTGAAGGCCATTTGAAGTGTGTTGTGTTTGCATGTGTGTGTGTGTGTGTGTGTGTATTTCTTTGTCTCTGTACACTCCTCTTTCATTTCTAACACACAGGCGTCTTTCAGGCAGTAACAAGACAACCTCCCTTGCAGGTAAAATGGGACCTGAGACCTGCGTGATTTATTTTACAACGGCGACCTTCATGTCGGTTGGATTTCATCCGTGTTTGGTGTCATGACCTCAGGAGGAAGCGAGGAGGTTACAAATAAATCTTCACATCCATAGAGGATAAAACTTTTTGTAAATGTGCGTGTGTGTTCCCTGTTGGGCATAAAAGACTTCTGCCTCCTTGTTTACTGTTTGTCAGAGGTATCTTCTGTCTGGATGTGATTAGCACCAGCCTTTTTCCCCAATTCCATGTATGCACAGGAGAAAGATGCGGCCCGCTTTCAAAGGGCCCACTCGTACAGAGGGCTATTGTCGTGGGTGGCAAGAGAGAGAATAAGATGACGCCGGTTGCTCCAGTGTTGGGTTTCAAACACGGGGCAAGAACACAAAATGTTAGCACCCGGACTCAAATGTGAAAAGGGAGGCGGAAATAAAAGAGAATTTGAACTTAATGAACATGCATTAGTGGCATAGAAGTGCTTTCATCAGACTCCTTTTCAAACGTGTTTTCACATCCCCTCAGATGCAACATCACAGCACCAGTGAATCTGACAGAGAGGAGAGAAAGTCTTTATTTATGCTCAAATGGGTCTCATCTGAAATAATGAATATGTCCTTGAGAAAAACAAAGAGCCCCACAAAATGGGCTACTCTTCTACAGAGGAAATGGAGATGGCAGATAATTGTTTTCAAGTCTGGCACTGCTCTGTAAATGAGTTTGTTCTGTTCTGCGGGCGGCTAACTGTGTCTTTCCTTTCTTTAAATTCTCTCCTCACACACACATGCACACACACTTTGATTTTCCTCCCTTGGCCTTTGTTTTCTTGTTATCTGGCCTCCATATTTACCCTCTCCTTGGCTCTCTCTGTGCCCTCTCGTTCACTTTCTTTCTTCTCAATCTTTCTTCTCTCCCTATCTGTTCTCTCAGCTCTGCATTCTTCAGAGCGTCAGGCTTTTTACATATTTTGCTTTACTCGTTGTTCCCCTCACTTTTGTTTTGTTTGCTCTCTGTGCACTAACAACAGAGGAATTCTCTATTTCGTCTCGCATTGTTCACAGAAAACAGTTTACCTTGACTTGTCCTGCTGTATTCGCCCCTCAACTTTTATTAGCGTGTCACGACAATTGAAGATTCCTACAAAACGCTGGTTTGTGTTTTAAATGGCTGCCTAGACAGTTACAGGAATAGAGTGGACTGTTACACCAACCTTGATGTAGTCCAAAAAGTGAAAGTCAGTTGTCACAATACATTTTCAGTCAGACAAACACTGGGCCATCAATTTTCCACTTTCACTTATCCTCTCCCTATCAAGTTTCCAATTCTTAGTTGTGATCCAGCTAACTTAAATTCAAGTTGTAGTGATTGCTAATGCAATGTAACCTATAATCATTAACAAATTGGGATTTGTGTGTTTTTTGATTTTACAAGGTTTGTAGCGAGGGAACTGCCTATTGCAGGCCTCCCCACATTTCACGGCATGTTTTACCTTGTACCTCTGTGCTCGTGACAAATTAAAATCCTTGAATCCTTTAGAACATTTGCTATTTGTTTTATAGTCATGCGTTTTTTTCAGCACACACGATGTTTGTGTTGTTGAACTGTCTTTTCCAATATTTAATCTTTATCGACAGGAAACGTGACACTGGCTGAGAGAGCAGGGGAAGACATGCAGCAGAGGGCCGGGTCAGAACTGGACTCACAGCCGCTGCAAAAGGACTCAAGCCTCCATGGGGTGTCTGCACTACCAGGTAAGCTTGTATTTTTTATTAAATTTTTTTAATCTTCTCTCCTTTGATTATCTTTGTGGGCCATAGTTAAGTGCACCTTTAAATGATGCAAAGCTTTGACGGCTCCTGCCTCCTCATTCTGGCCTGTTCTAATGACTTCTTAAAGATATCGCTTCTTGTTTTTAACCATCTTACGTCAAAAATGTTCAACTTAAGCATAGGTTTTTGTACTACAAAAAGGTACTACACTTCCTTCCTTCCTTTTTCCAGTCCCTCTTTCCTTCCCTTCTTGTTTTTCGGAGCTTCCTATTCCCAGGGTTCCACTCTGGGGAGCCCACAGTCCCTTGAGAACCCTACTAAGCGCTCTCTAGCTGGGTAATAATGGATTTCCAACGTCGCCTATTTAGACTGCAAGTTTCCATTAAATCTCACTGTGTCATTACAGTTCATATTCTTAATTATGCAGCAAATGTCCCCAAGGGAATATCACGGAGGCCACTACTCCACAATCTGTCCGTATGGCACTTAATTAAAAGTTTTCTTAAGAATAAATTGCATTCAATTCAATTAAAACTGTAATGTCATACCAAAATAATGGGCATAGCCTCCTACAACGTGCAGCTCGGAACACACACAAAAAATCTTTTCTGTTTCTGTTTTTTTTTTTTTGCAATGTTTGCAATGGGAAAAGTGCATATCTCCTTTCCAAAAAAGCCCCCTAGTAGAAAATATGCAAAAAGCAAATATCACCAAAGCCTCCTACATGCCACCGAGCCCCAGGCAACAACCGCGCTTGAACACTCGAGCTATTTCTAGACTCCACTCTTGGAATTCACACCATGACAAATGAACCATTGGAGTTTGGAATTCCTATTTATCTGCAGCGCACAGAAGCACTTGATTTGGGTGTGAAGAATAAAGGAATTATACGGACAAAAAAACAGACGACTTAAAGGATAAATGATAAAAAATAAATAAATAGATTGTGTGTGTGTTTTTTCCTCTGGAGCCAGAGTTGTTTGTTCATCTGATTGAGGGCGTTTAGGTGGGCGTGTCCTTATCATCTGGATGCTCTGATCTCACCACAGCAAGACAATTTCAAATAAGCGGCATCTGATATTAAAACATCCCCCTGCCACTTCCACGAGCCCTGCAGGATTATTTCCAAGAAAAGACATTTCCTTTTGAACAATATATATGTGTTTTTTTTAATGTTTTCATCTGCCCAGCTTGATGCCACTACAAGTTCAGGATCTGAAGTATACCTCAAATCATCGTGCTTTTACTTCAACTAGCAACTTCCCTCACCGTCCGCTTGTCATCTAGCAGATGACAAGCATTGACTAGAATGATTGGGAAACAGGGAAAAGAAAAGTCCATTTGGTAAAGTAGGCTGCTGTTCTCCGCGCCCCATCTGTTGGGTGTGAGATGCTGACTTCATCTGTTGACGACACGGCGGTGGCTAGGGAACCAGGGATGAGTTGATTTCCCTCTTTCGCTGGTTGAGTAGTGAAGGGCCCTAAAGCGTAAACAAAGTGTTTTTCTTGTTCTATACACAGAGTCTTGGCTCAGGCTCTGGCTCGGACTTGGCTGTAATGTGGGTGTGTGAGTGTGTGGATGTGTGTGTGTGTGTACGCGCATGTGTGTGTATGCTCACTCATCCTCACTCTAAAGGCCTGTTGGTGCCCTCGACACAAACGCCTCCCAGCCAGCAGCCTACAGGTGATTAGCACACCAACTTCCACACCTACCTGTGGTCAGCCACACCTAACACATCCCACAACCCCCCACCTCCCTCTGCACACACACACAAACACACGCACACCATGCTGTATCTGAGTAAACACACCATTGAATGTTTCCGTGTTGATTGCTACGCCCTGAATGAGACCCGGCGTAAAAAAGACTGGGAGGTTGAGGGTCACATCGCTCAGTTCCAATCACCGCATGCTGGTATTTTTCATTTTCTGCCTACACACAAATACTGTGACTCACGGGAAACAACACTGGGTTTCAGATCAATCATACAATCACATCAATCCACACCGTAGGCACATAAAAACATGCCATTCCGTCGTTACAACCTTTCACTCTGATATTAGAGGGAGAAGAGAAGCTATTACATGGGACGCAGCGGTGGCAGATGATAGATTGTCAGAATCGTGCGGCCTCGACCTGCCCTCTCTCCTCTGGAAATGGGAGGGGGTTTAAAGAGATACCTGGGCAAAGCATTTATTTTAAATGGCCACAAATATTTCAACTGCTTGAGGTATAATTGATTTAACTTGCTGGCCGGTGCGCCTCGAATGGGCAGTGGATGAAAAGAAAACCAGGAGGAGGCAGAGTGAGTTTGCATGAGAGACAAAGAATGACAGTTAGAGAGAGAGAGAGAGAGAGAAAGAAAGAGAGAAAGCATAAATGAAGTCGTCCTTTTCCCTGCACGTCCGCTTCTATATACCATAACTCACGATGTGAGCTTGAGTGAAAACATTTGCTGTCAACAGCTAGTTTCACCGAACTAAGCCAGTCTAACAGATGTGCACTCACCCGAAGACTTATGCAGCTGCTACTGCTGCTGCTCCCGTGTGTGTTCTCTCATCTGTGCGCGTGTGTGTACGTAAGCCTGCTTATATGTGTGTATACAAATAAGTTTACGTACAGTTCAGAAGGGTTTATGGGCATGAGAATATGTGCGTCTTCATAACTTAAAAAAAAAGCCCAATAAATATACAAAAAAGAAAAAGCTCCCAAATCTGCTCTCGTTAGATTTGATGTTGATTGCATTACCATATGAACACATTCTTGGCTATTGTCCTGGTCCCCTGGGCTGATTCGAGCTCAGAATTGGACCACGCTGGGCTGGCCTCCGGATCCTCTCTGCCCTATGAGAGGCATTCAAGGGACCAGGGGCATCCTGCGGCCCAGTTTACGTGGCCCCTCTCTCATTCTGGTTCAGGGCACCTGGGTGGCTGCCCTAACCTCTCCCTGGGGGCAGGAACGAAGCCAGGCTCCACTGCCGGCTGTTTGTTTCACCAGCATTCTAAAAGGTAAACAAGCTTACAATGACGCCTTCAGCTCTTTTCCTTTTAGATATATTTTTTTACTTTGATTTATATATTTGAGATATTTGATTTGATAGATGCTCATGTCCCCTTTTCACTAAAGTAGATGTCACTTTGTGATCTGGTATATAATAAAGTAAGTAAGTGAAGTTTCCCAGATTTAAGTCACAAAGAGATTCACATAAATAAAATAACACCTTAAAGTAGTGATACACAATAAATATACGCTTAAAACTGTGGAAAACATGAAATAGAAAAACAATAAAAACACTACATAGTGAGTGTGAATAAATGGGTTTTCAGTTGGTTGTATAAGGGGTTCAGCCGATATTGCATAATGTAAATCAAAAGGAAGAGTATTCCATTGCTTCGGGGCCACAACTTCGAAAGCACCACCACCTTAGGGTTTAAATCGGGTTCCTGGGACAGCCGGTAAGTCATGGTCAGAGGTCTACTACTACATACTAGATGGGCGGAAAGAGTAGCAGTGTAATCAGGGGCCTGACCATGCAGTGTGCTCTATACGTGAAAACATGCATCTTAAAGTTATTTGTTAATGTTGATGTTTGGAAGCCAGTGTCAGGATGAAAAGATGAAAGGTGGGTGTGATATGAGAAGACTAGGCCATTTTCCCACTATTTTGTGGCATTATATAGAAAAATAATATTGACAAAATTGATTTATCAAGGAAAATAACAAGCAGAATAACAGATAACCTTTGTCAGAATGTTTTCCGACAGAAGTGAAACATTTGAAGAAGTAATTGTGAAAATTAAATGTTTCACACCAAGTTTACCACCTCATTTGGTTAACTTATCTGTTAGGAATCGAGAACACAGACACTGAAGTCATCCATCTGTTGCTGCTACATCAGTCACTCAAATCATTTAAGATCTTGTGAAAAAGGTGCAGCTTAAATTCACAGCCAAGTCTGGTAAATTGAAGAAGGAGTTCATACTAAATGTCACAGAAACTATGACATGTTTTGAGGAACACTTTTTCCTGTTTATTATAGGAAGCATTCGGCTAAATTGCCTGCAACTGGATGACGACTCATGATTTCTTACATGAAATGTATTATTAACAGCAATTTAAAAATAAGTTATCAGTATTTGATTTTATAGCAGGGAAAAGACAGACAAAACACTTGTACATTAAAACCTAATTTATTATGCTTGTGTGGTTTGCTCCTATATGTCCGTACTGTAGGTGTTATATCATCATAAAGTGGCCATTTAAATAAATATAGCAGGCTCTCGCTTGAAGAACTGTGGAAGTATGGGAAGACTTTGATGAGCTACTGTTGCTGAATGCACAGAAACACAGACACACACACTCACAAATGCCCCTTATGCATGTGTGTGTGCATATGCATGACTGACACACACACATACATCACACACACATACCACTCTTTCTTCTCGTCTCATTGGCAGGCTCATATCCCATCTGCTCTCCAGGGGGGCGGACAGAGAGATAGTTGTCATTGTGGAACATCTCTCCACACACACACACACACACACACACACACACACAACTTCTCAATACCAAACCAACTGACACACACACACCGCACAAACCCCCATACGTTCACTTTCAAGCATCTTGAGTCCAGCTACATTCTTCTCTGCTAATTGACTGTCATAACGGCTGGAGAGATTAACTTCAGCCCATTCCCTGCAAGATAAAGGATAAAGACATGGGGGCCACACTGGGCTGGGATGGTGGTGGAACTGGGTGGAAGGGGCTAATACCGACACGTCTCCTATTTGTTATTGATATTTACAGGCTGTCTTGTCCCTCCCTGCTCGCCACAGCCCCTCCTCTGCTCATCACCCGTGCGGATTAGCGTTAATGGCAGGCTTATGGCGTAAGCGAACCCCTGTCAAACCCATGTCCCCTCTTTGCCATCTCCCAGATTAGCTGACGCTTTGTGATGGGCTCTCTCTGCAAGACACA